TGGGTGGGTGGGTGGATGGATGGATGAAAAAATGTATGACGATGGATGAATGAATGAATGAATGAATGAATGAATGAATGAATGATATGGCATGAATGGATGTATGAAAGGTTGTATGAATTGATGGATAAAAGGGTGGATGGAGGGAGGTATGGATGGATAGATGAAAAAATGGATGAATGGGTGGATTTATAAATAAATGGATGTATGAATGGATGGATGGATAAATGCATATATTGATGGATGGATGGATGGACGGTGGATATATGTATGTATAAATGGGTGGATGAATGTATGTAGGTATGTAAATATGGATGAAAGGATGAAAAGGTGTATGAATTAATGGTAAAACAATTAACAGGACGGCTAAACATTTTGGCGTCAATTGTATTCATATATACTGTATATGTTTCAGATGCTGGTTTGGGAAGGAGCCTGGGAAATATGTAGACTACATTTACCAAGGGCCTGTGATTCTAGTTCTTCTGGTAAGAAATACAGCTTATATCACTTAAATCAGCATTTAAAGGGATAGTTCACAGGAAAAAAACGTAAAATTGTGTCATCATTTACTCGCCCTTTACTTATTTCAAACCTTTATGAGTTTCTTTCTTCTGTTTAACAAATACATAAAACATAAAATGCTGAAAAGCTGTAACCATTGACTTCCATAGTATTTTTTTTCATACTATGAAAGACAAATTTCCCAACATTTTTCAAAATGTCTTATTTAGTGTTCTTAAAGGTTTGAACAAACCTTTATGAGTTTTTTTCTTCTGTTGAACACAAAAGAAGACATTCAGAAAAATGCTGAAAACCTGTAACCATTGATTTCCATAGCATTTGTTTATCCTACTATGGAAGTCAACGGTTATAGGTCTCCAACATTTTTTTTTAAATATCTTCTGTGGTGTCCAAAAGAGGAAATAAATATTTAAGGTCAAATAAATAAATTAATAAAAAATAAATAAATATTTGATACCAGCTGAGGTTGAGTAAATAGTGAGATTATGAGTGAACTATGCCTTTAAGTAACGTAAATCCATCAGAAGTAACTTAAATCCATCACAAAAGAAGATATTTTGAAAAATGCTGAAAACCTGTAATCATTGACTTTCATATTATTAGATTTTTTCCTATTATGGAAGACAATGTTCCCAACATTCTTTAAAATATCTTCTTTAGTGTTTAACAGAAAACAAAAACTCATAAAGGTAAAATAATTATATGAGATCTACAGAGGGTGAGTAAATAGTGAGTCTATGAGTGAACTACGCCTTTGAGTAACTTAAAATCCAACAGAAGTAACTTAAAATGAGAATTCCATCATCATTTACTCAACCTTTACTTGTTCAAACCTTTATGGGTTTCTTTTTTTTTTTTTTTTTGAACACAAAAGAAAATGTTTTGAAAAATGCTGAAAACCTGTAACCATTGACTTCAATAGAATTTGTTTATCCTACCAAGGAAGTCAATGGTTATACTGTAGGTCTCCAACATTTTTGAAAATAACTTTAGTGTCCAAAAGAAGAAAAAATATTTAAGGTCAAATAAATAAATTAATAAAAATAAATAAATATTTGAAACCAGCTGAGGGTGAGTAAATAGTGAGATTATGAGTGAACTATACCTTTAAGTAACGTAAATCCATCAGAAGTAACTTAAATCCATCACAAAAGAAAATATTTTGAAAAATGCTGAAAACCTGTAACCATTGACTTCCATAGTGTTAGATTTTTTCCTACTATGGAAGACAATGTTCCCAACATTCTTTAGAAAGATATTACAGAAAACTTATAAAGGTAAAATAATTATATGAGACCTACTAAGGGTAAGTTAATAGTGAGTCTATGAGTGAACTATGCCTTTAAGTAACTTAAAATCCATCAGAAGTAACTTAAAATGAGAATTCCATCATCATTTACTCAACCTTTACTTGTTTAAACCTTTATGGGTTTCTTTTTTCTGTTGAACACAAAAGAAGATATTTAGAAAAATGATGAAAACCTGTAACAATTTACTTCCATAGGACTTGTTTTATACAATTATGAAAGACGATGTTCTCAACATTCTTCAAAATACCTTATTTAGCGTTCAACAGATGAAAAACTCATAAAGGTAAAATTAATTAATTAATTAAAAATAAATATTTGAAACCAGCTGAGGGTGAGTAAATAGTGAGATTATGAGTGAACTATGCCTTTAAGTAACGTAAATCCATCAGAATCCTTCACAAAAGGAGATATTTTGAAAAATGAGGAAAACCTGTAACCACTGAATTCCATAGTGGTTGTTTTTTTTTTCCTAGTATAGAAGACAATGTTTCCAACATTCTTTAAAATATCTTCTTTAGTGTTCAACAGAAGAAAGAAACTCAAAAACCAATTAAGGGAGTGTAAATAGTGAGTGAATGTTCATTTTTGTGTGAACTATCCCTTTAAGTAACTTAACAGCGCCAGTCAGTGCCAGAATATCAGCTTTTTATATAATAGCAATGTTGCTTTTTTCAGATAAAGTGCTTAAGATTTAAGGTGATTACTGAAGTGATGTTTGCTAAAGTGTTAAATCTGTTGTCTCTTCATCATGTAAAAGCAGAGCAGTGTTTGCGTTCTGTTAGAGACACACATATAACACTATATCTGCTCAAATCCCGAAGAGATTTAGTGTTCGTGAGAAACGTCACATGATTGTCGGGTCTTTTGAGTTTACTCCAAACCCTTAAACCAAATCTAATCGACGTTACTATTTTTCTTCTGTCATTACAGATCAATTTTGTGTTTCTTTTCAACATTGTGCGCATTTTAATGACAAAGCTGAGGGCCTCGACCACATCTGAAACAATACAATACAGGTAAATATATTTAGTGCTCATTATAACTTTAACGGATTATTGACTCAATGCTTTAAGTGCATTGATTGTGTGTGTGTGTGT